CTTAGCAGAGCCTAATAGTCTACTTACCACCTATTGTACTAGGTGCTTTGCTTTGTTTGCCTAATGATGCTCCAACCCCACTTCTCTCAACTTCTAATTAAGAAATGATTTACACTCTTTGCTCCTTAATCCTCAGTAATGACACAGGTGATCTGAATTGTCCTTAGTGTATTCTTTCTGGATTTACGAAGAACTTCATAAGAATTAAAAAGGTGGAGATCAGGGCTTTAGTCCTCAAAACTGTACAACAATACTTGCAGAATGGTGTCCATGTGGTTTCTTACAGGTTTTGCACATGGAACTGCGTGTGGTCTAATTCTTTGCCTCGGTTTCAACGGTAGTTTTAATTTTCTCTAGCTTCAATGTTCTTAATTGGTCTAAGATAAACCAAAATGCATTTTTTTGTTCAGATTTTTTGGACGTGTTTAATAAGTCTATAGTAGGGCAGGTCTGTATGTTGCATATAACTGTCTCTCCACTATATTCCTGTTGTACTCCTTTTTGTGGCACTGAATCAATATACAGCCCTGACCAATCGATTCTGTGCTACTAGAAAATAAAAACAAAGTAACTTAAAGAACTTCTGTTTTTAACACTATAAAGCCATGACTTTAAAGTACTGAATTAAAAAAAAAAAAACTTTCTGAATAGGTAAGCAGCTCCAGTTTACCCTCGGAGAAAACTAAGGCACAGAGAAGTTATTCAAGGTTTTTCCCTGTTTCATTATTCACCTCTTTCAAGGCCACGCAGCATATTGGGAGAACTGTGAAGACATTCCGGCAATCCTGGCTCCACAACTTAGATGTGCCCGCTATTGATACTGACAGGATAATGAATTTCTTTGGGTAGGAATAATGGTTGATATTTGCCTTGCATTAAGTGATAGATTCACATTTATTCAGTATAGCTGCACTTCTTTAAATGTAAAAACAGGAGAGTTGGATGTTACTGATGCTGCGTGTTTCTCTTTGTGTTTATGCCTATTGCTTCCCAAAGATCTGCAACAATTCATTTCAATCAAGTCAATTCAAGTATGAGCTGAAACAAGAAGCCCCCTCTATTCTTCAAGCAGAGCTACACTGATTTGCTCTTCTTCATCCTGGCAAACGGATCAAAAGCGTCAGAATGCAAAAGCCCATCAAACCTACTGAGGTCCCTATGAGATCTCAAACCAAGGGGTAGCTTTCTTCATATGGAAGCTGTATTATTTCTTTAGGCCCTTTCTACAAGAAAGTGAAGCTACTTAAAATGAAAGCTCAAAGTTGTAGTGAAAGTGGTATATATTTATATTGACTTGATGCTGTTTTGATTGCCCTTATACCACCGCTTTATACTGTATTGTGCCTGCATCTTAATTAAACTAGTAGAACAGATAGTGTTTAAACAAAACCTCACCTCGCTGGGAAGCGTCTGTTGGCATCTCAGTATCTTTATATAAAGGGTGAAGGAGGTTCGTAGGGCCAAATGAGACTGGATGTTGTTAACGCAACAAGCCGAGGACCACTTTAGCCTCTCAAGAAAAGGGACATGGAGGGGCAGATGTGATCTTGACTGAATGCCTGTGTCTGCACAGCCACTACCGTTAACATCTGACATGCGAGTGAAAGTGCTGCACCAGACATTGCAAATACGGACGAAGGGGGACAGTTGCAATCTCTCTTCCAGTAAACCTATGCCTGCCCAGGAAAAAAACCCCTTCCCTCTAGGGCTTTAGAGAAATGCCACGTGTATCTGTAAATGAGCACCCTTGCCAGTACACTTTCTGTTTGTTCTCTAAATTAAATAAGCTCTCTTGAGCAGGAGCACCCTGGGAGGTTTCAAATTGCGCAAAGTGCTGCCAGATTGCTACCTTCCCTTTGAAGCATGATGACTAGCATAGTTGCCCAGTTGCTGACTTCCACGCCTCATCCCTCTTACTGTGAAATGAGGCAGTCATTGCTTAACCAAAAATAAAGGAGAGCAGCCTGGCAGTTCTGGGTACAGAAGCAGAAGGAAACTGGGAATGTTTTTTCTTTCCTAGGAAATATGGTACAAAGCTCCATATGCTGGCCTGTTTGCCTACATGTCTGATGCCTGCCTGCATGCTTTCTTGTTGATCTGCGCTTGGATTTTGCTGGTATGAATTTTTTCTCCTAAGTCCTTAACAGTCATTATTTCAGTGGAAAAGATTTCCATGGAGACCTCGTTTAACGGGACTGCCATCTCCTGTTTAT